GAAATTCATAAATAAATCAAGACAATAGTTACCTGCATACGCCGTGGCCACAAGGCAAAGCAGGGCAGACAGGACTTTGACTTGCATGACAGTTGACTTCAACTCAGCAGCACACAACGCCGTGTGTGCAGGGGGGCTGACAACTCAGCTTTTATGTCTTGTTTCAGGAGTGGGTAGATCCGGGACAAATACAGCTGTTGCAGAATCGTGCACAAAGCTAACATAATATATTAAATCAGAGCACATGTAATCAGTTGAAGAGGCGAGATAACTCGGCTTGATAAGGTGGTAAATCAGGAGCAAATATATCTGTTACGCAAACTTTCATGAAGCTAAAATGATCCATTAAAAATCTCTGCTAAAACCAGAGTCGATTGTACAATTTTGTTTAGATCATGAGTTCATATTAATTTCAGTAGTGTTACGGCTGTATGATGTTGTTTGAAAAGAAAACTGTCAACTCAACTGACTCATATATATCAAACACTGGTCCCTACGTGCGCGTCCAGTTCTGTATAGCAAAAATGGATGATACAATTCTGGTCAGATCCCGAACATATGATTATTTTAGCAGAATATACCTACTGTCTTAATTTAACGGAAATGATAAAACAAAAGCACAGCAATAAGTGAATTGACATGTAATATTCGCCTAATATGTAGTTTGTCCTGTACATGTGTCAACGTTCTTCAGTGCGTGAATGATCTTTGGAATGCCACGGAACCTCAAAGTGTCCATTAATAGGAAATAAGGACTAAGGTCGATCTGTCTGGATATCCAGATGTCTTGATGCATGGGTGGATTAGCGGGTGGATGGATATCTACATAACTGACTGGAATACTGCCGATTTGACGTAAAAATTCATCTCACTCACTTACTTACTCAAAACAACTGATAATTTTAGTAGCGTGTACATTTTGTCCCTTTGTGACTGGTATTGCAAGATCAAAATGAACCACACCCTAAACACACGTCACATGACGACCACATCACACCATACACACCCGTCACATGACGACCACACCACACCCTACACACCAATCACATGACGACCACACCACACCATACACACCCGTCACACGACGATAACACCACACCCTACACGCACATCACATGACGACCACACCACCCCATACACACACGTCACATGACGACCACACCACACCTTACACACACATCACATGACGACCACACCACACCCTCCACACACGTCACATGACGACCACACCACACCATACACACACGCAACATGACGACCACATCACACAAAACACACCCGTCACATGACGACAACACCACACCCTACACACCCGTCATTTGACGACCACAAAGCACCCTACACACACGGCACACGACGATCACACCACACACCACACACCCGTCATATGACGATAACACACCCTACACACACGTCACATGACAATCACACCACACACAACACATCTGTCACATGGCGACAACAATACACCCTACACACACGTCATTTGACGACAACACACCCTACACACACGACACACGGCGATCACAACACACCCCACACACCCGTCATATGACGACAACACACCCTACACACACGTCACATGCAACCACATCACACTCTACACACACGTCACATGACGACCACACTACACCCTACACACACGTCACATGACGACCACACGACACCCTACACACACGTCACATGACTACCACACCACACCCTGCACAAACGTCACATGACGAACACATCACACCTTACACACACGTCACATGACGACCACACCACACCCTCACCCTACACACACGTCACATGACGACCATACCACACCCTACACACCAATCACATGACGAGCACACCAAACCCTACATACATGTCACATGACGACCACACCACACACAACACACTCGTCACATGACGACCATACCACACCCTACACACCAATCACATCACGACCACTCCACACTCTACACACACGACACATGACGACTACACCACACCCTACACACACGTCACATGACGACCACATCACACTGTACACACACGACGACTACACCAAACCTTACACACATGTCAACTGACGAGCACACCACACCCTCCACATCTGTCACATGACGACCACAACACAACCTACACACACGTCACATGACGACAACACCACACTCTACATTCACGTCACATGACGATGACACCACACCCTACACGCACATCACATGACGACCACACCACACCATACACACATGTCACATGACGACAACACCACACCCTACACACACGTCACATGAGAACCAAATCACACCCTACACACACTCGTCACATGGCGACCACACTACACCCTACACACACGTCACATGACGACCACAAAACAACCTCCACACACGTCACATGACGAACACACCACACCCTACACACACGTCACATGACGACCACAACACAGCATACACACACGTCACATGACGACCACACCACACCCTACACACCAATTACATGACGACCACACCACACCCTACACACCCGTCACATCACGACGACACCACACCATACACACCCATCACATGACGACCACACCACACAACATCCGTCACATGACGACAACACCACACCCTACACACCCGTCATTAGACGACCACACAACACCCTTGACACACGGCACACGACGATCACATCACACCCTACACACACGTCATATGACGACAACACACCCTACACACACGTCACATGACGACCACACCATACCATACACACACGTCACATGACGACCACACAACACCTTACACACACCCGTCACATGACGACCACACCACACCCTACACACCCGTCATTTGACAACACACCCTACACACACGGCACACGACGATCACACCACACCCCACTCACCCGTCATATGACGACAACACACCCTACACACACGTCACATGATGACCTCATCACACTCTATACACACGTAACATGACGACAACACCACACCCTACACACACGACACACGACGACTATACCAAACCTTACACACGTCAACTCACGACCACACCACACCCTACACACCTGTCACATGACGACCACAACACAACCTACACACACGTCACATGACGACCACACCACGCCCTACATTCACGTCACACGACGATGACACCACACTCTACACGCACATCACATGAAGACCACATCACAACCTTCACACACGTCACACGACAATCACAGCACAAACTTCACACGTCACATGACGACGATACACCCTTCATTCCCGTCATACAGCAATCACACCACACCCTACACACGTCACATAACAACCACACCACACCCCACACACACGTCACATGACCACACCACACCCTACACCCATCACATGACAACCCAGCACAACCTATACACACGTCACATGGTGACCACACGACACCCTACACAAACGTCACATGACGATCACACCACACCCTACACACACGTCACAGGACAACCACATCACTTCCTACACACATGTCACATGTCAACCACACCACACCCTACACACACGTCACATGGCGACCACACCAAACCCTACACTCACGTCACATGACAACCACACCACACCCTACACACACGTCACATAACAACCACACCAGACCCTACACACACGTCACATGACCACACCACACCCTACACACCCGTCACATGACAACCCCATCACAACCTACACACACGTCACATGGTGACCAAGCCACACCATACACACACGTCACATGACAACCACATCATAACCTACACACACGTCACAAGGCGACCACAGCACAACCTACACTCACGTCACATGACAACACCACATCCTACACACCCGTCACATGACAACAAAATCACATCCTACACACACGTCACATGTCAACCACACATCACCCTACACTCACGTCACATGACACCCACACCAAATCCTACATATACGTCACATGACATCCATGCCACACCCTACACACACTTGACATGACGACAACACCACACCCTACAAATATGTCAAATGACAACCACATCACAACCTACACACACGTCACATGACGACCACACAACACCTACACACACGTCACACGAGAACCACATCACAACCTACTCACACGTCACATGGCGACCACACCACACCCTACACACGTCACATGACGACCACACCACACCCTGCACACACGTCACATGACAACCACATCACACCCTACACACACGTCACATGACAACCACATCACAACCTACACACACGTCACATGGTGACCACAGCACACCTTACACACACGTCACATGGCGACCACACCACACCCTACACAACACGTCACATGACAAACACATCACAACCTACACACACGTCACATGACGACCACACCACACCCTACACACACGTCGCATACTCTCATAACAAAAGCACGTGTGACACACGACAACCACACGACCAACTGTTCTCATGTCACATACACATATCCCGAACTACGGTTGAATGACAACCACACCACTAACTGCACTCACCTCACATATACCCACAACAATAATTTAAGCTTTCAACAATCACGCAGATGATTCTGCTTTCCTGAGCAGATAGAATGCAAGTGTGCTTCACCATCTGCTTCAAAATCAGCGTCAACATGTGTTGTTGGCTCGATGTATAATGATGTTTGGATATATGTTTGACACGGACATACTATCGAGTGAAACTGAAATGACAGCTTTTAACTGCATGCTGCCGCGCCATTGGCACCGGAACGAATGTGTTGGTTGAAACATCCAAACAAACCTGTTAATGTTCACATTACGTATGTATGCTACGTTCCGCACACACGCAAGCACGATATTTTGTTGAACTTTGAGCACTGAATATACACCCATCAATAAAATGCAATGATCACGTATCGTTGTCTCCAATACACAGTGCCACACACGGTATTTGATGACCACATTAGACCTTACACACGGTACATGATGACCACACCATCCACTTCACATAACGACCACACCACACCCTACACACACATCACATGACCACACCACACCCTACGCACACATCACATGATGACCACATCACACCCTACACACACATCACATGACGACCACATTACACCCTACACACGCTACATGATGACCACACCATCCACTTCACATAACGACCACACCACACCGTACACACACATCACATAACGAAAACACCACAACATAACCAACACGCCACAAGATGAACACACCACACCCTACACACACGTCACATGATGCCCACACCACACCCTACACCCACGTCACATAGACAAAAGCACTTGTGACACACGACAACCACACTGCTGTTCCCATGTCACATACCCACATCACTAACTACGCTCATGACACATGACACATGACAACGACACCACTAACTCCACTCATCTCACATAAGCTCACAACAAAAGCAGTTTAATAAACTCAGCTTTCAAAAATCACGCAGATGATCCTGGTTTTCTGAGGAGATAATGGAGTGCAATTGTGCTTCACTGTCTGCTTCAAAATCAGTCAGCATGTGTTGCTGGATCGATATAAAATGATAATGTTTTGATGTTTATTTGACACGGACACAGTATCGAGTGAAACTGAAACAGCAGCTTTTAACTGTATGCTCTCGCACCATTGACACGGGAACGAATGTGTTGGGTGAAACATTAAAAAAACTGTTAATGTACACATTGCGTATGTATGCTACGATACGCACCCAAGTTAACAACAATATTTTGTTTAACTCTGGGCACTGAATATACATACACCCATGAATAAAATGCAGTGAACACGTAATGTTGTCACCAATATACAGTGCCATGTGTAAGGTGGTGAAAGGTACTATGTTATATTGCTTCAGTAAAGTCCAGATTATGTAGTGAAATGTTTACATTACCAAGAAAGTGTTATCCCAAATATAACAAATGTTGAACATTATATGCTGCGAACCCTTTTGGTTTTTTGTGTGTGTGTATATATATATCTCTCTCTCTGTTTCTTTTGTTTTAGGGGTTGTTGAGGGTTTTGTTTTTGTTGCAACTCTCTCTCTCTCTCTCTCTCTCTCTCTCTCTCTCTCTCTCTCTCTCTCTCTCTCTCTCTCTCTCTCTCTCTCTCTCTCTCTCTCTCTCTCTCTCTCTCTCTCTGTGCGTGTGTGCTTGTGTGTGTTGTTTGCTTCTTTGGTTTGTTTGTTTGTTTGTTTTTTGGGGGGAGGGGTGTTGGGCTTTTTCTTCTTTTTTTGTCGTTGTTATTATTTGTTTGTGTTTAGTAATAAATGAGTTGATTTGCAAAGTCCACATTTAATGTTTAAGATGTCGCCCTGTAATCTTTCCATACCAAATATAAATGCTTTTCATTGTGTAACAATGTTCCGAGTGTTAAGCAAAAAACTTACATTCGTTATAATGCTGAATAATGATCCTGTTTCGAATATGAGTACATACGAAGAGCGTTCAGTAAGTTTTGCAACTTGGGCATTTATGTAAAACAAGCAAATGTCAACTTGTGCCTGGTGTGCCTGTTCTGTTTCATGTGCGAAACAGCTCTTTATTTCTTACCCATCTATAGACTAATCCTAGTCTGGTGGTTTATTTTCTTGCGTAATCTATATAAATGACCAGTCTAAAAACTTTTATCCGGTTTGGACCAGTTTTCAGGTTTCAGGCGGCATAGCCGACTATTCAGGAATCCTCATCATTTTGAGTAATATAGGAGTAACACAGCAACGAGCGAGTAGGTATTAAGTCTTTTATTTTGTATTTCATGTAAATCTTGATGCATAAGTATCAGTTGAGACAGGTTAAGCGGTTATAAGTTTGTTATTGTAATCTAAGAAGTAGCGCTGTTCAGCTTTCGATCAGGCATAATTCACGTACAGCACTTTATGGCGTATATTGCCTTAGACTTCTGTGACAGCATGTGATATTTTAAGTCCTTTATGATTAAGGTATCGTAGAAACACAGTTTGCACTCTTGTTAAATGCGTAAGTCATTTAGGTGTAAGTTTGCCAAACTTTCATGTCCAAGCTAATCTATTGAAGCGCTCATAAAATAATGTGCAGTTTACATGCAGAATAAGCCATATGGAGTTGCTTCCCTTTAACTGTTCATTATTTAATATTTTGGAAATTCTGTTTCTTTCTGACATTATATTGATGTTTAGGATTGTGGCAGAATATTCAGGATAATACTTCGTGTAGGTACTGGGTAGACTTTAAGGAATATTTGAGGACATATACTATTGTCAATGTATTTTGTAGTTGCATGTCCAGTTTAGGTTATCATTGTGACAGTTTTGATATCATATTTAGGCATACCTAGGCTAATGAATAAGTGCTATGGAATGTAATACTTACCATATTCAGGTCAGTTTAGACTAATTTGGCCTTTTGTACTTTTCAGTTTTTCACCCTCAACCTTCACCACCACCTTCTCCACCTACCTTTGGTGCTAAATATTACCATCTTGCAAATAAAAGGAGCTAAATATTAACATCTTGCAAATAAAAGGGTTCGCTATCCACAATAGTGCCACTAGTCATAACAAGTTCCCGACACAACAATAAGTTAGATATGATGGCTTCATTCACCTAAGGGTGGCCACAATCATGGATGCTCTCAAACATGAACAACGTGTTGTAACAAAGTTTCTTACCATGGATGGGATGCGTAAAAGCAAAATAAATCCATGACCGCATGTGTAAAGTGATGGGTGGGGATGCTCCTGACTATTCCACAGTTTTTCGTTAGTCTCTACAGTTTATATTGCCGATGCGATGTAAAAGTTTAACTCACTCACTTTAACTCACTCTACAGTTTTTAAGGGGTAGGGATTCCATAGACAATGACCCAAGGCCAGGTAGACCTTCAGATGCCACCCAACTGAAAACCATAGCCGCAAAAGAAAGACGAAATGTGCACCCCCTACCCATTTATGTCAATCCATGCTAAGCATTTGTTTAATAAATGACTTGTTAGTTTTTTTCCTTTTCGTGTTTCCTACGCTTTACTTGTTATTATTAATGCATTTTAAGATCAAAAAGTGCTTTTGGTTTCATCAATCGCATCTTGCAAACTCGACTACCATTTTCCACTTTTACGGAGAGTGACAGTATAAATACGTAGAAAGAATGACTTTGTTACACAACTTGTGGCAGTGTTACTCAGTGTACAACAATGTTCCAAGTGTAGTGCATTGTGCACATGGATAGTCAGTCGGGACAGTGGTTTGCTGTAATTAGACTCAAACTATTCTTAAACAGTTATGGAAGTTGGCACTATGTTTCAATATTCTCTGACCCAGGGAGATTGAGAATCTTCTGGAGTCATTTTCGTAGGTACATCAGGGGATATAGTTCTTGCTCTTAATCTCACAGTATATCTATGACGTCATTCTTACCCAGGATACTTAACCCTACTTGAAATTTGACCATTATTGCAATATATTGAATGTTACCATCATTGTTTTCATTGCTATATTTCATTTTTTTGTACCGTACTGCTTTTGAATTCGTTCTGACACAGTTTTTGTCATGCCACTGTAACACAATTGCGGTGATTGGTATTAATTTGTAAATTTACTTAATTTTAAAATACTATTGATAGTTACATCATATATTTTTGATTTAACATGATTTTGTTGTTTGTTTAGTTTCAACTCGTAACACTATAGAACAACACTTTCTGAGGCTTAAGTAATGCCATTGTTAAGGATCGTTTGATGGCCATAATTGGCTCTCTAGAAATAATTTGATGTGAAGTTGGACTTAATGCAGCGTTAAAATCCATGCACTTATGAATCAAGGAGTATTCACATGTATGTGTGTGTGTCTGCGGATGTTTGAGTGAGTGTGTTTAGTTTTATGCCACAATCAACAATTCCAGTTGTATGGCGCGGTTTGTAAATAATCGAATCTGGACCAGACAATCCAGTGATAAACAGCATGAGCATCAATCTGTGCAATTGGGAACCGATGACATGTGTCAACCAAGTCAGCGAGCAACCTGGTCACCCGATCCCGTTAGTCGCCTCTTACTACAAGCATGGGTTACTGAAGATCAATACTCCAACCCGGATCTTCACGGGTGCGGATGCTTGAACTTATGAAGCGACATGTATGCACGTGTATGTGTATGAATGTGTAGCTGTTTGGAATAATGAATCCACGTATATATGTCTCAGGGAATGTGTGAAACCAGGGATTTCACGTAATCCCTGAAAGAGTCAGTGATTTCATGAAATCCCTGTGACCCCCAGGGATTTCATGTATTCCCTAAAATGTCAAGGGATTTCATGAAATTACTGAAATATTAGCTCAGGGATTTCATGAAATCCCTGTAAGCCCTTATTGAAATAGAGAACATCACCTTTATAATGCGAGTACATGTATTTATATGTGAATACACAACGTCATTTAGAACGTGGTGAAATGTAACACATGGTATACTTGGGATTACACTTTGTCGGTTCTAGTACATTTGTTTGGTTAAGTCCCATCCGGAATTTGTACTTCAATAAGAAAGTGTAACCCAAATATAATATGTGTACGTACGTGTATGTGTATCAGTGTGTGGCTTCTTGGACATGTCCAGTCTCATGCCTGTTTATAACGCTTGAGCACTGATTTACAGTTATTCCATTCGATTCTTATAGCTGATTCTACCATGACGGCGTGAAATACCCGTATTTGGCTGGACAATCAATAATTAGTCACAAACACACAAACAATTTGGATTTTAAAAAAAGCGTGTGATGTATGAGCGCTTCATTGCTCACGCAAACATTGCCACCAGACTACTTTCGCTTGAGTACCAACATTGCTCATATCATATTATTAATAATAAAACATTTACTAAAACGGTTTGGTATTTTTTCGAAAATATATTTACATATGCATATGGTTTTCCTGCACATTTCTTCTATTCTGCCTCCTTCTGTTATGACAATATTCAAACTCAGTTACAAGGTATAGGCCCAACCATAAACAAACAATATGTACCTTATCAGGAAGCCTTGTAACAATACATACCTAGTTTAGAAAAAGAACATTCGCCGACCTGAGAAATGGTATGTTTAGAATGGCACAACATTGGCATCCAGTAATTAATGTTTAAAGCATTTCCTAAAGAAGACCTAGGGACATACCTTCAACACGTTTATGTGGAACTTCGAAAGATAAATGTCAGTCGAAACCCGAAATCTTTTCAAATTTTAAACGGTTGGGTAACCGTCAATAACTACATCCAATACAATAAGTAGGTCAGACCATTGAATCATAGTGTTGGCAGGTGGTACAGTACCACGGGATAACAAACAATAAATTGATTTCTGTTGGGTCTGTGTGTGTGTTATAAAGGCTGCTGCCTATTAAATCATTGCATTGAAGAGATAATTGTTTGTGTTTTTGGGACAGAATATAATTTTATGTTACAATGTATAAAAAAAACGACAGACACCTACAACCCCTTTTACAGACGAGTTCAGTTCGCACCTCGTGCATGCCGCATTACACAGTGTCTTCAGCTAAATCGGTTATGGTTTCAATTGAAATGCAGAGACTATTAGTTCGGTCTAACATAATGGTATTGTCAAACAAACTATGTTTATCTCCATATGAATTATGCAGAAGTTCCAGGTTCAAGATCTCACTCAGATACATTATGGGAGGTCTATTTCAGTTGTGTCTTATTTTGATATTACAGGCATAATGCTAAATACTGCGTAAAACCATACTCACTCATTCGTCAAATATAAGTTAGATACACAAGTCTGATATTGCTGGAATATTGGTAAAAGCGGCGTTAAACCACACTCACTCACTCACACTCACTCACTCACTGAATATAAACGGACAAGACAAAGAAAAACAACAAAGACTCACATGATGAGCACTGTACTTCACCTGCAGCAGTACATACTGTGGGATTTGTGGAAAACAAACATGTTACAGTTCCTTTTCACAAATAAAATTTGATGGTGTTTGACATACATAATCATTCCACAGATAGTTTCCGAAATCCCGTCTTATCTCAAGACAGTGTTCGTCACCTCCTGCATTATCAGGTTGTCCTGGATTCCAGTTTGTGTAGTTCATGCGTCGTTGTCCTTCCCTCAGCCATTTCCCCTCTATGTTCAGATCAGAAGCACCAAGCCAATAATTGACTGCTGCAAACAGGACAGCTGAAGGAATTCAATATATGGATAACCAGGAATAGGTTGTATAAACTTATCTTATGTAAACTGGTATCAACTGTCTATTACCGAAGAGTAGGTAAAGTTAGGAGAGTTACCCTATGTGCTTGGTAAAGGTAAGAACTGCAATGTTCCTGTTTATGATTCTCTAAAATCAAAAAAAAATTGAAATCGATTATAACAAATATACTTCATCACTAATGTCTTCTGACCGCCTACGTGGTGTAGTGGTTAGAGCGTCCTCCCGGAGAGCCTCTGCAAACGAACTTTTAATGGTTGAGAACCAGTAGCAGGACCTTCTGTGTTGATGAAATCCTAGCGGGCATAATGTCAGCTATAATTAGCACCACATGGAAACAATGCAGAACATGTTTTGAACCAGAGAGTCTAAAGTACCAGCAAATGTTGATACAACTATTTCCGGTCCAATACCATCATTTTGTTATTGTGATCCAAACACTTTGTCAGTAGATTGTGTCTCCGAATCAGCGGACCTAGTGACTCCGGGATCTTATTTAAGCGGTGAGGTATTCACTTGTAAATACAAACCACACAAAGATCTAACCCTTTATTTAGATGGTACTCCCATCAAGGTGCTAGAAGAGGCCAAATTCCTTGGACCGTCACATGACATTCTTACCACATATAAAATATTTGAAACCAAAGAGCTTGAAGTCTCTTGACTTGCTAAAAGTAGTTTCAAATACAGAGTGGGGATGGGATCAGACTACCCTCCGTCACTTGTACAGATCTTTGGTACGCTCTATACAAAACAATGGCTCCAATGTCTCTGGTGGAGCCTGCAAAAGCAATTTAGAAAAATTAGATTCCATCCAACATCAAGGTCATAAGCTCTGTGTGGGAGCTTATAGGATCTCTCCGGTAGACAGTCTGTATGCTAACGAACCTACCCTTGAACAACGAAGCATTAGGATGATGGCCAAGTTGTCAGTGCCACTGCCACTGTCATTGGATGCAAGACTGTCTCCCCCCGAATTAACGACAATAGTTATTCTAAAAACGTCATCATTTTTACACAACGAGGAGAGTTCTATGGATATACAACTTCTTTAATATAATATGACTGGCGTTTCGGTGTAGCTACTAACACCGTTATCAAGCAAATGATGTGATAACGGTGTTATTAGCTACACTGAAACGTCACTCATATTATATTAAAGAAGTTGTATATCCATAGAACTCTCCTCGTTGTTCATCACACCAACTTCTAAATGCCACTCAAACAAATAATTTTTACAGACTGTCTTGCCTTCAAGCACTTCAAAATGCCACTTCGAGTCACCCTATCGTCCTGGACATTTTAAAACCTGAAAACGATCTTTCTACTGGCCAATGTGACATCGTCCTCTGCTGGTTGCCGGGTTGCGTAGGCAAACCATCTGCTGAAAATGTGTGTCTTTTGAGGCCAAGTGTTCACCACCAAGGATGTTCTGCTTCACTGTGCGGACTCTTTAAGTGCGAGGGACCCACATTATGAAGGAATTCTGAAATATCCCACGTCAGCGGGCCTCTCATTTTGAACTACTTAAGGGAAATTGATCTGTATCATAAAATGTAACTATGTAATGTGATGGCAGATTACTTGTTTTTAAATTACATATTCTGTTTGTAAATAATACTGCAATGAATATATGTTTTTTAAAAAACTCATTTGGACGTTGTACTTACTTTAGTGATCTCGTCATTGAATGGCTGGGATAATGCCGATGTGACGCAAAACCAGCTGACTTTCCATTTTAAAAGAATGTTCCTAGTGAACTATATTCGTTTCATCACACCATCTGAATATAATGACCAGACACGGGGTTTACAATGATCGTAGTTAAGAACCCTTTACACGGGGGTTTATAATTGTCATTGGGATGCCTTTTGTCAGGATTCATAACAGTTCTTATCAACGTTTAATCCACTTCCTACAAATGTTCAGATTGGCTGTGTAACTGTGGGTTGCGATTTTAAGTCACATTGGCAGTATTTCAGCCATATATTTCCAGAAAAATGTTATAGATTCATAATAAATAAAGGTAAATTATAAAAACATGTCAACGAAGACAGTTAAATGACTGGAACATCCCAAATACAAATGTGAAACTTTTATGTAAATCTAAAACATTTAAATATAGAAAACATTACAAATCATATAAACAGGCAAAACGTTGCCAGCAACTGAAGGTTGATCACTATACTTACAGTATATTTGCTTCTTGCATGTACACCAGTTGGATTTACACCATCCCTTCAGACGTTAGTAAACCTTTACCTACCTAGTAAATGGTACATTTGTTTCTGTTTAGAATGGGAAATTCGCAAGATAACGGTCTGGCGAAACACCACATTTATGCCACTTCATACTCCATCATATCCCGTTGCATCGTTCACAAAATATTTCTGCTCTCTGCCAGCTTCCCCGCAAGGCTGTCGCTGTTATGTTCATATACTTTAAAAACGCTTGGACACAGTCCAAACCCAAACGATGAAAACAACGTTCCAAGGAATCACAAGTTAGTCGCATGTACACTAAGCAGCAGCTCTGTCACTCTTTTGTCGCATACCGGGGTAGAGGCACGTACGTGAAATCATGATCGGACGGTCATAAAAATCAACAGTCTTTGATGAGTTACAGGTCGTAGGTTGATGAGGAAAGGATCTATTCTTCGATTCTGCAGGGTTCAGATTCAACAGTCAGTCAAATATTGTCCACTGTCACTTCAAATTTCAACCTTGTAAAAATGTAAACACTGGCTCGTCCGCCATTTCAAACTGTTGCGTAGCTGTCTACTTCGAAGAAAAAAAGTAGGTCAGACGATTCCATTATAGTGTGGCCAGGGGGGTACAGTTTCACGGCACACAAAAATAGGCTGGTTTTAGTCGTGAGGAGTTGGGATGAAAAAAAACAAGATCTCGGGTATTACATAATTGCATTGAATAAACAGTAGTTTGATTTCTTTGGACAGAATATTTTTATGTTGTAATGTTAAAAAAATACGAACGGCACCTACCGCTCCCTTCACAGACGAGTTCAATTCGCCTCTCGTCCCACGCCGGATTATGCAGTGTCTTCCGCAGAGCGAGTAAGTTCGATTTTAAATGGGTCATCGTAGAATGGAGATAACCCTAGTGTGTTTGAAAATCAGAGACATGCTTTACTGCATTGATGGAGACTAAATATTTCAATTGAAACCTCAGACTACGCGTTCGGTTCCAATTGAAATTTAGTCGCCATCAATTCAGTAAAGCATGTAAATTTCAATTGGAACCAAACGCGTAGCGTGAGGTTTTAATTGAAATATTTAGTCGCCATCAATTCAGTAAAGCATGTCTCTGATTTTCAAACACACTAGGTTTATCTCCTAAATAATAATAAAAAATATCGGCTCTGTGGCAGTATACAATGGCATAGTCTTGCGTCACTGTTACAACCGCAACATTGTACTCAGAACCTTACAAGTCAAAACTGATAACACAACGCTCTCGTTTCCTGCTGACTGGGTCCCACGCAACTTAATACAATAACGAGTCCAGAATCTTGAGACCAACTCATTCCACTGAATGTATAAATATTAATTATAATGATTTGATACACCTCATCACTGGTATATTGCAACACGCTCCTTCTAATCCTTGCAAACACATCGTGCAGCGTGCTCTGTCGTGCTCTGACAAACGGAAATCCGGAAATCGTGGAAATCTCAAAACGAGGCTCGGCCGCTAGAAAAGCTTGGGGTCTGGTACGGGCTTGACATTATAGCAATCACATTGTACGTTACAATAATACACTTAATTAGCGCAAAAAACACATAACAGGTGTAACCAGTGAACCAGAATAATTGTGAATCATTGTAGGACCTCTTCAAACAGGGAGGGTCTGTGACGTCTTAGTTGACGACAATCTGCCTAAACCTGACCGCCTCCGTGGTGTAGTGGTTAGAGCGTCCGCCCGGAGAGCATAAAGTCGCGGGTTCGATCCCCGACCGAGTCATACCAAAAGACGTTAAAATATGGTACTTGTTGGTCCCTGCCTGGCGCTTCACGGCATTAATGGGTACAACAAGGACTGGTCGGCTCGGGGTCAGTATAATGTGTCTGAGTGGGGTATTTATGCTTCACTGCGGCATGGTATCTCAGTGGGCTAGCACTATAGTCCTTTTTGATAAGGGTCTTACCTCCCCTGAATTATTACCTCCCTGTGTACTCCTTTGTTGTGAAAACAGTGTGACCTTACTTCCGGCGAGCAATATGGCCACTTCTAATAATCACCAGTCAAAAGTGAAAACTTGTAACAGACATTACTGCTGTGTGTGTTCCAACTATGGTGGGGAAATAGTGAATGGCAAGGTGATTAGCCTTCATAGATTTCCAGCAGATAAATCGATCCAAGCTGCATGGCTGCAAAGAATAAAAAGCGTGAGCCCAAACTTTAAGGCCAATCTGAAGAATGATCGTCTCTGTTCTGCCCACTTCAAAAACGCTGTATTTGTGAAAGGAACTGTACCAACAACCTTTATCTTGCGAGATGGAACAGTAAAGAACTTTTCTTCAACAAAGGCAAGTCTGGAAGTGATATATATTTGTCTATTTAATTCATTATTGTCTTCGGTGTTTATTAGGGGAAGTGCGTCTTACTACGGTCGTTCGGGGTTAATCGCACCCTTGTTGTTGTTTTTTCTTCGATCACAACTTCCGTGAACAAACGTAAACACGAGAACAGGCACCAATAAAATTCATATCACATTTAGATTCTGAATTACTAAACCGCTTGAAATAATTTGGAAATTACGCCAAAATAACTCCAACAGGTCAGTCGAATCTCACAGGAACGGAATACACAGGCTGTACACAAGGTACAGCCTTTGCTGTGTTTGCTTCCTGAGCTATGCAAATAACGATCACGGCAATGTCCTTGACTTTGGTCGATTATTTTATTGTGTTTCAACTAAATATACATTGAATCAATATAAACTAAATAAAATGAACTGCTTGATGTTACAGATAACAATACATTTTGTGCGTAATACTGTCAGAAGCTAAAAGTGACCGAAGTTAGTCGTACTTCCCCCAGTAAGTGCCATTTGCTTTCATACTGATATTCTCAGCTAAGATTTTTGTTTGTTGTTTCCTTAATTTATATT